TATCTTTGATCCTTTCCATCCCAAACAGCGATATCCAAGTGATCCAAACGCAGTATACAATTCCTAAATCTGTCTCTCGTCCTGCTCTATTTATCATCTTTTTTTGGTTTTCTTCAAACCTGGTTTTCTTTGTCATCTCTTGGAAGGAGTCTGGGAACAGTAGATCCAAGCTGGTAGGAAAATTGTGTTTCACTTATCTTTATTCAGATATGGTTATTTAAATCATCCTCTTTAGAGTTTTGATTTCAAGATAAAGCAGAGGGTCTGATCAGGCACAAAAACCTCTAAGATTTTATTTTGTAAGTTAATACTAATAATGTATAACATGGTACAAGGGTTATCTGTTTACTGTCCAAGGGAGAAAAGAAATGAGGTAGACTACTGTAAGCCACAAGTTGGCATCTGGATTACTTTGAAATTATGATTTGCCAGTAATTATATGTGAGCCTCGAGTAGAGGTCCTTAACCAACTGTCATTACCAAGAATGTCTGTTTTACTGAGCTCATAGACTCTTAGTCAAGGAGAGCTGCACTCAGTGGTTTTCAGCTTGGCTTGTTTTGACTCTAGATAACTAGTTCCAGGAGAAAAGAGGGTGCATTAGCAAAGCTCTTCCAGGTCAAAGGAAGCACTTTGTCTCTTGGCTAGTAAGTACCGTTGGTGGGAGCTGGGGAACCACGATGCTGGATTACTGTGCTACGTAACTAAGCAATTCTGCTGTTGTGGCTAGCTCAGCTAGCCCTGGTTTAAGAATTAGGTCATACCTGATTGGAGAGACTAGGTGGTTTGTTTCTGCTGGGTTTTGTCGTTTGTTTTAAAGCGTACCTCTGAGTCAAATAATTAAGGGGGGCGGGGACACCCACCAACAATAAAGCATGAAATTGATCCTTTCTAAGAGAGTTCTACAATTGCTGGCAATACACAGAGAGGGTGGGATGCAGGCATGCGTGCACACACTTCTACTGCCACCGCCTCCCCCCGCCCCCAGGGTGTGTGTGTGTATATACTTCTGTTAACTATTATACTGATGATAAATGAACCGTGGTATGTATCACATGTTATTCTGAGTCCTCATATTTTCTTATGCTGAAATCTGCATGAAGGTCTGCCATCACTTCTGAGTCACGCCAGCATGTGTATTCACTTAGAGCCAACCAAGAAGTAGAAGATTTTTGGTCTTAAAGTGTATTTTGAGCAAAAGAATGTTTCTTGTATGTGCGTCCTCAGGTACATAGGCATTGTGTTGCTTTGTGGGTGGGGTGTTGAGTCTTTCTGGGTTTTATTGAGAGTTTTTTTTGTTTGTAGTGAGTCTTTGGGAAATCTGTTTGTTTTGATGAAGCTATTCTGAAGCATTTTATTTGAGTTATGGTAAGGGCTTCTTGTAATACACACAAACAGAAACTTGCCAGGTGCCAGAAGCCAACTGGGTTTCTCATGTCTACCTGGCTTGGATGCACGGAGAGGGACTGGAAGTGGGGAGGGAAGACAAGCCCTTCACATGGAAGGGAATACATGGGATGGACAAGAAGAATGTCCCATTCAGCTCGCTCTATTGTCATGACAGTGGGCTGGGAAGAAAAAGAAATACAGTGGATGCCACCACTGGAGAATTTTGAACATGGTATAAAAATGACCAGGGAAGAAATACCAAAACAGTTAACCGTCTTTACTAATAAGAGATTTACCTGCTGTCAACTTGAACTGATTGTCTTTCACCAGTTTTTTGCCTTCTTAAGGTATACTCTGTTCAGTGCAAGGACTATATTTATCTTTGTGTTCGGAAAGCAGCTAACACATTGCAGCTGTGGTTGAGATATGAAGAATAATGAGGAAGCAGTATGCTTAGTGTATATACTTAGTTCTTCACCTCTCTTAAGATGATTTAGAAAATGTTTCTCTTTCCTAGTATTCTGTTACTCAATTTAATATTGAAATACTCATAAAAAAAACCCCTTTCCTCTGGCACAGTAAAAATCTGTATTTTAAAAGCTCGCAGAGATAAATATTTAATACCCCAATGGACATCGCAGCACTTTCAGGAAGATTCATGAGCATCTGATGTGCCAAAAACAATTCTGCAATCTTGAGATTAGATGACCTTAATTGCTAAAAAATGGATATTTTAGTATCTCGTGTAGCCCTGAAGTGAAGAGCACCCCTGAGTGGTGACCCCTCCTTTGTTTCCTCTTTCACCTTCTCCTTCATCTCCCTTTAAAATCTGAAAGCCAGCACTTTTGTGGGTTTCCAGCGGAGCTGGGTCAGGAAGCAGCAGCATAGGAGAATTTGCATATTGGTTTCCTTGTTTGCAAAGCAATAATAATAATAATAATAATAATAAAATACAGCCACAAAAAATCTGGAGGCATGGGAGGCTTTGATTTTTTTACCCACACTCACTGAAGGGTTTCACACAATTTGCAGAGTGTATTTGTTGTCTGATACCTTAGATGAGATGCATCATTAGTGACTCGTTGGAGTAGGTACCAGAGGTACAGGAGGCAGGCTCTTAGGCTGGGTTTTCTGCGTGGCGAAGTAGGCTGGAGGAGTGTGTTGTGCTAGCTGAGCAATAATAATAATAATAATAATAATAATAATAATAATAATAAAATACAGCCACAAAAAATCTGGAGGCATGGGAGGCTTTGATTTTTTTACCCACACTCACTGAAGGGTTTCACACAATTTGCAGAGTGTATTTGTTGTCTGATACCTTAGATGAGATGCATCATTAGTGACTCGTTGGAGTAGGTACCAGAGGTACAGGAGGCAGGCTCTTAGGCTGGGTTTTCTGCGTGGCGAAGTAGGCTGGAGGAGTGTGTTGTGCTAGCTGAAAGAAGGCTGAAGGAGGAGAGAAGTTTTAAAGGGAAGGAAGGAGAAACTCATTAATCTTTTTACCCACTGGTGAATTTTATTCCTCCCTTAGTTTGCCAAAGTTGACATATTATGCATATTTAAAATACCTTGGTGTTTTGGGGTCTTTTTTTGAGGACAGTGGATCCCAAATGACACACCAGTGATGGTGTGTGAGTTTGATCTACTCACTGACTTCACAGCAGTTTTTAGAAGGTGGCAAATGAATATTCAGTGTCTGCTTTTGAACTCTGAAGCTGATTTATTTACTGCATCTCAAGAAGAGGAGATTAATTGGTAAGTCCAGCACAGACCTGCTGTTGTTGCTCCTGGGCTGTGTGCCGGTGTCTCGTTGGAGGCAGCGCGGCTCCCAGTGGCCACTGGTGCCGGCTTCCTTCGAGCAGCTCCCAGGATCATTGCCTGCCTTCCGGAGACCCGCAGGATGCTGCTGACAGCAAAGAAAGCTCTGTGGCACAAGGCGGCAGCGCTGGACAATGAGTGTTGGTCTTTGCAAGGTCAAAATTGCGCTGAGTACCTAATGGAGAACTGGATTGACTGAAACAATTGCAAGTCAGTTCACCAGAACAACATAGCATTTCAGGACAGCATAACATTTCAGAAGAAACATATGGATAACACTGAAGCAGGCAGGGTACCAAAGATTGAGTACTAATTGACGTCAATACTTGATCCGTCTTGGTAAGGGGAGGCTCAGGATGAGAGAACAGAGGAGTTGTATGATGGCAGATTTTCAGTTATTAATTGTAAATTGTCTCACTTCTACTTTTGGAACTTGTGCCTGCTGAATCTTGCACCTCTGTAGGAGGCATCATGGTTAGCAAAAAGGATTTGGTGTAAAAGTGAGTGCAACTTCATGTCAGTGCTGGTGCGCTATGTAATCACTGACTCAAGCCAGGTGTTTCTTCATATTATGCAGGGAAACAGGAGCTCAGAGATGGGATGGCATTTGATTTGGCAGTGTTCAGTGGTGGTATCTGTTGCCATATTAAATGCCGAGAAGACAACAGGAATTTGGTATGGGGTCATTAAGGAACTATTATTGCTGAACCTTTAGGGACCATATCATAAATGTTCGGTGTGCCTATTAAGGAGGTACACCAGTGAGTCTGCTGTGCATCCATCACTGGCGTTGCATTGCCATTTGAGAATGAGATATACCCATAATGTTCTCCGGACGAAATCTTGGTCTTATAGACAAACTCCCATTGACTTAGTGTGAGGTCTGTATTTCACCCATGGTAAAGCCTGAGAGCAAATGTGCAGTGTTTTTTCAGAATTAAAGTTTTTTATTCCCTACTCTAGTAGATGTAGGGTAGAGATGGTGCCATTCAATTTGTCCCATTTTGTTTTGTTTGCAAAAAGCACCATATGTGCAAAGTAATGTCGCCTTGGCTTGTACTGCCAACTGAGTGCTCTGGTTGGCTAAACAACCTTCTGCTAAAGAAACGTATAATTAGATTGTTTTATTTTAATGGTCATTTTTAATTTCGTCTAGAAAAAAGCCTGCTTTCCTCTTAATGATAGCTTATCTTTTTGTTAGTGCATTGAATTTGTTATTGTTTGCTACCTTAGTTGAATTTACTGTAGAAATTATTTCTGTAATCCACAAAAAAAATTAATTTTCTTTTAAAAGCCAGGCAGTGAGATATACCGTGAGTGTGAACCTCACAACAGACGTAATCCAATAGTGTTTTCTTTCTTTTCAATTAGAGCTCTCTAGAGCTATCTATACTAGCTAAAATTTCAGTTCTACTGTATCTGTAGTTGTGCTTTTTCCTTTATTTCTCTGTGTTTGTGTGTCCTACTATTCACTGCTCCCCTGTTTCCTCCTTTATATTAGCAAAAGTATTTTATTGTAAAGCATTACTGTTACCTCCATAGCTACCTTTCCTGGCAAGTCATGTATTCTTTGTTCCTTTGAAAGTTTTCACTTTGCCATTCTCAAATTATATTTTAATTTATTTATCTTTGAGCATAAGCTCATCTACAAGGCCTTGATTTTGTTCTCCTAGCTGGGGATCTTTAACCTTGACTGACTAGTTTCTGTTGCATGACAAGATTTCCATAGCTGGATACAGCAGTGTGTTGCGTGCTCAGATGCATGTTCAGGTATTTTCTGGTTTCTTTTTAGTGCTTTGCTGTGCGATCTCTGGGCTGGGTAGAAATGGCAGAAGAAGATCTGGCTCCTGGAAAAAGCAGTGTTGCGGTCAACAATTGCATCAGACAACTCTCTTACTGTAAAAACGACATCAGAGACACTGTTGGCATCTGGGGAGAGGTAAGAATGGAGTGAACTCCTCCTCCTCTTGGAACATCCCTCTTGTGTCATAAAACATCTTGAAAGAACAACTCTGTAAGCAAATAAGTCCATGCTCTGTGTTTGGGATTTCCCCATCCTAGCTGGCACTGCCAAAAAATATAAAAGGGTTCAAGGAAAGTGTTGATGTTTTTGTTCCAAACTGCTCAGGACAGCAGATGCCACAAAGATTTCACCTTCATGTTTACATCTGTGCTAGTACGCACCTGTGCAATAACAGTGTTGGGACACACAAACCAAACTGTTGAAATCAGTGGAAGTCTTTCTCCTGACCAGAGGTTTGAGAGTGGTGCTTTGGAACAGCATTTTCACAGGTTTCCCAGTGACAAAAGGGCTTTAAGGAAACCTAGACTGGTGTGACCCATGCTTCTGAAATGTATAAGAAGATTGAGACTGACGGACAGATGGCTTATTTTAAGATGATTATTTTATCAGTGTTTCAGAAAGAAATTAATTTTATGTCATCAGTCTGTCTGTTGGTTCCTCTCCAATAACTCTTGAAACTGTTAACCAGTGTCATCCAGTTTTGAAGGATGCCAGATTCCCACACACTGAAGGAAAAACAGAGAGCCCAGATCTTCTCTTTCGTGGTTTGCTGATGGGTCAGTACACCTTCATCAACTGAACTATGCAAGCTCTGTGCTTCTTTCTGAATTGGCAGCAAAGACAGGATAACGCTGTGGGAGCTCAGGGGGAAACATGAAGGAAGCCAGAGGTATTGTGGTTTGGAAAAGAGGTGTGCTGGGGACAGATGAAGGAGTGGAAGGTGTGGAGGGATCAGTAAGTGAAACAAGAAGAAAGGAAAAGGTGGGGTTATAATGGTGGGACATACAGAGGACTTAGGAGACGAACCCATAGAAAAACATCTTCGTTATTTGATTGTTCATGGAACAACTTAAACTTCAGCCAAATCTTGCTCCCTACATCTCTCCTGACTTGTTTTCAGGAGGGTTACACTAACGTGGATTTACTACACAAGGTCTGAATGCAAAAGTGATGTAAGAGCGAATGTTGTAACTTTCACTTGTGTGATCTAAGGGAAAGAGCACTGCCAAACAGAAGAGGAATTAAAAGAAAGACTTGTCGATTTCAGTAAAAATTTTAGGAAAAATATCCTTCAGTCTCACAAGTTATTGTTGCAGTCTAAAGCTTGAGTCCAGTGCCCTGACTATGACCACAACAATGCAGAGACACTTCAGAGGAGCAACTGGGAGAAAGTGCCTGTTTAAAAATGGGAGTGAGGTTTCAAGGGACACATTTAGAGTGCCCTATCTGTTTAAAGTAATTTCAGAAGGGTTTTTCTATGTAAGAAATGTATATTGTACGTATATGTGAACAAGATAACATTGGTCTCCCTTTTTCCTACTTCTGGGAACAGTTTTATTTAGTTAATATAGCTAGACAAGCAATTAGAGATGTGTCAGTCATGGACTTTCTGCTGACCTGGGGAGGGAAAAAACCCCACTCTCTTTACATGTGTGTAATCCCATCCATTTTTCAGATGACAGAACTTTGATCAACTTGAAATATATCATTTACTTTGGAATCGTGTGCTTTATTCTGATTTAAGAGTTAATGTTGACTGGTTTGAGTTAATAGTCACATTTTTCCATATTTCTCTCTGTCAGTCCCGTTGTTCTTTGTTGGAAATCCTTGCAGGTTTCCAAGCCAAAGTGGTGAAAAGTTTTGGTCCTCTTGAATGGAAGTTTTAAATAAAAATGCTATTCATAAAAAAAATAAAAAAAATCAGCCTGACAAAACGAGAGACACTGTGCTTGAATACATGGCCCCTGAAGTAAATTGTTGTCTTGATTTTAAAAGAAATCATTACAACCACATTTTTCTGCTGGCAATGTAATGCTTCAAGAGTGATTGGAAAGAGCACATTTTAGAGCGGAAGCTGAAGAAAGTGTGCCCGTCACTGACATATCGGATGGAGCACATACAGCAGAAATCTATTACGAAGCTAGAACTGATGACTGCAGATGGGGGTTTTAAGATTGCCTAAAGATTTATTTTAGCTATAATGTAATGAAAGTGAAATTGGGACTAGGACTATCCCCAAGTTTTCATGATTTAAAAACACAAAGCAAAACACAAAAAAACCCACACCCTGGGTAAAATCCTGACCCTACAGAAGCTTTGTTACTGGCTTTAATGTGGGATTTCATGCCTTCCGCTCCCCTCCAAAAGAAATACCCTGTAAATTTCGAACTACCACGGTTCTGTAAAATCTAAGAAGAAAAACGCAACTCATCTGTTTGTGTTGCTACTTTGCCATGCATTATATTCCTGTACGTTACAAAATCATTTACCTGAAAAAGATTCATTGTTGCCATTGACCTATATACCACAGTATATAACACTTCCCTGAAAGGCTGCTCGGATTGAGTCTCTCTCTCCTCCATTCCCTTTCCCTGTGTGGCTCTTCCCGTGAGAGCCTTCTTCATCTTGGACCATCAGGTCTCTGCAGCTCTTCAGCAGTCTGAGACATTGAGGCCTATGTTCAAGCTCCCAGTCTGTCTAAATTATTTCTTCTTGCCCTCTGCAGTGTTTTCGTCTCTAAAATAGCTTTTGTATAGTAAGGCAACAAAACTTAGCAAAATATATTGCTTCTAGCTGCGGCCAAGCTATCCCTTGAGCATTGCAAGGATAATTTTCCTTGACTTATGTTGCTTATCTGCCCATTCTCCGATCTTTTCCAGCTAATTTGAATTCAGTTTATTACCCTAATCCCAGTATATTTTGCATGATGAACGGATTTTACCTTCTTGTAATAATTTCCTTCTGGAACAAATATACAAATAGAAAATGGGTCCAAAAAGCAATCTTTGTGACACTCAGTAACATTCTTCACACAATCTGTTTACTGCTTCTGACCTCCAAGAAAATTTCTCACCCTTTTTCTTTGTGATGACTCTGTTTTCTGTTTGGTTTCCTTCATCATCCTGGTCTGCCTGGTGCCATCCTGGCTTCTGTGTTTTACTTCCCATGTTTCTTTTTCTGCATGCCACAAGCAGTTCAGTGCTGCTGATTCACCCCATTTACATCTATGGTTATCACAGCTACATCTGTTTCTGCTTCTCTAGGAGCAGCCTATATATCCAGCCTTGCATCTCAGCCACAGCTGTACTTTTTCCACCAGGCAAAATGTTCTTGTGTTGGCATCGTATATACCAGCCTGTGTCCCCTTCCTCCCCCGCACCCCTCTCAGCGCTTGCGCTGCCAGCTCTGTGTCACAGCTCCCCTTTCAATCCCTGTTAGGAGATCTGGGGGTGGCAGAGGTGGTTGGCAGTGCCTGCCCCTTGCTGCCTAGCCTGGAAACCCTGGAAGCAGGCCCTCTCAGGATGACATGAATGTGTCTTACACAGACACAAAATTAGACGTCATTAAGACTTGAGCCTCTGTAACCAAGCGGGAAGAGGGTTTCTGTGTCACTGAGGTGAAGTAAAAGGTCATTTTTGAAACATTTGTCAGTAGGAAGTCAGACCCTTTCCATTCTTTCTGTTCATTTATAGATTCTGGCACAATAGAGAGGAAACAAATTACTCTATATTTAGCTGATAGCTCCCACCTTCTTATCAGCAGGAGCTTGTCTTACCTCTCGGTAATAGGTCCAGGATCATTTCTGTGGGATCTCGTGGTCTGCAGAGTAGGTGTACAGCCTCTGAGAAGAGAGCTATGAGATGTGATAGAAGAGGCAGCAGACCTTTTGCAAATGCTAGCCATAGGAGGAAGACTAGCATTTGTGAATTAGCATCAAAAGGAAAATTGTCTCTAGATTTGTTTCCTTTAAGGGGAAAAAGCATTCTCCTTGTTCTTACATGCCAGAAGAATTAGGGAGAAATCTGGGCTCCAGGATTCTGCAGTCACCAGCAGAATTCACATTCATGTCTTAATGCTAAGTTTTCCCCTTTAATTAATCTTTCTTCAAAGAGTATCCTATAAATTCTTTGACATATACAAATTGCTGTCTGTTCCCATGACCCATTGGTTAAAGTTTATGGAAATGAAGCACAGTGTTTGAAGGAAGAAACTCTGCTTTAAGAGGTTTTGATGTAAGCTTTTACTATTAAGATAGTTCTTGACTTCTGATATATTTGGACGAATTTACTGGAGAAAGGATAAACACATAATTTGTTGAATAACTCAGTAGCTTGAGGTTGATGAGTCAAACAGTTGCGCTTAAAAGACATCAAAGCTTTTTGTGATTGGGATAGTTTAAAAATACAGTAGTAGCAAGATACTATCTTAGATCTTTTTCACACCAGAAGTAAATGAACTTGTTTTCAATTGCTCTTGGAACAAACCGAAACTTTGAGTAAATTAAAAGGATGCAAGTCTAAACAGCATAGGCATAACACCTTGATCACAGTCAGTTTGAGAGGGAGATGTACTGTGTAACTGTACTTTGTCTGGAGTTGCAGGGCAAAGACATGTACCTTATACTGGAAAATGACATGCTGAACCTGATTGACCCCATGGACCGCACAGTTCTTCATTCGCAGCCCATTGTGAGCATCAGAGTCTGGGGAGTGGGTCGTGACAACGGCCGGTGAGTCTTCGCTCTCCTTATCCCTCTGACTTGGTGCTATTTCTGTCTGCTGATACAGAGTACACATACACCCGGAGCAAGTTAGGTATCAAACCTATTCATTTGATTGAGTAATTGTGTCCCAGGGGCTTTGAGAGGATGGGTAAATTCTTCTTTTTCTTGCTGGTGTTACTTTTTAAAATCCCTGGTTTTCATAGTTTATCACTTATATGCTGTTTTGCTAAACCTGTATTGAGCAAACCTTTCAGATGAATTCAGCCAGGTGCATAAAACTGCACATGCAACATTATTTTGTTTCAGATATATATAATACTTTTTTATATAAAACCATGTTTTCAAATACGTCCTGTAGTGTGTTTCTCCCGGCTGTGTGAAAGCGTGTCTTCCTGCTGGTCCAAGTTAAATGCACTACTTACAGTCTGACTATACGCATGTGTTTCCACTTTCTTGAGATATTTGATTTGATGGAGGAAAACGTTGGACTGAGGGAAAAGTAACAGGTTTAAGCCATTACTACTACGTAAAGATCTTGATGCAAGAACATTCCTAAGGGTGTTCCAGAAAACTAAGGTTTGTCCCTGAAACCTGACTGCCTGCGAGCTGAAATTCTTCCTTGCCGTAGGGAGCAACCGCAAGTGTGTGCTAAAGGCCTTCCTGCCCTGAAGGCAGTCTTTCCTTAGCTTTCCTTCCTGACTGGTCTTTTGGTAGCACCCTTCTTTGTCATGTAACATTGCTGTGGGAACAGGATAGTGAAGGTGACATTTAGAGTGGGACAGCAAGCTGTCTCTCTGTCCTGTTAAGCATTTTGATCTATCAAAAACGTTTCCATTCACGTTGAGCAATTCCAGGATCTTCGGGCAGTACCCATCCTGACAAATGGGTAGTAAGGGTTGAATCATGCTAGCGACCTGCTGCTTTTTGTGTCCATGTTTGATTATTGAGATATTTGCAGAAGTAGGAGTGGGGTGTTTTTGTCTCTGACTTTTGACAGGAAATGTCATTTTGGACCTGAAAAATCTTTCCCAGTAAAAGATTTTGTGAAATTTCTTTAATCCCCCCCGAAGTTTCTGATTATCTTTGGCTGAATTACCAAAAGGAAAGATAAGTGTTTCTGTGAGCCAATTCCATCTTTCTAAATTTTTTACTTCTATAAATGACTGATGGTTGGTTTTTGGTTTTTTGGTTTTTTATGTTTTTCACTTCCATTGGTGCAGATTTTTGAGAGATCTAAAAGGGGCAAATCCAGTTTGAAATGGTGGGAAGTAAAGAGGTTTTAACATCTTATGAACAAACAATTACAGTGCTTTGTTTGCCTCAGAAAATGAGTGCATTGCACATTTCCCTTCAAGTCAGATTTTGTAGTAGCTTGCTTTGGTCAGGAAATAAATAGAGCATCTTAAGGGGCACCTAAATGTGATGCAGCTTTACAGAGTAAAGGAAGCCAGCTTTGCTTTTCATTAATTTTTTTTTGAAGCATTTACAGTTCTTCTTTCAAATATCTACATTTCTTTGGAAAATAAAATCATTCCATTATGTTGTTTATAAAATAAGATAATGAGTCACAGTTCTCCAAACTGGATACATACTTTTCATGAAGACAGAACTGATCATAGAAACGTGGACATTGAAAGGGGACGTTTAAGAGAAATGTGCGTTTTGCGATCATGTGGCACCACGACTGTCATAAGCTTTTGGTGAAACATATCCAGGGATGCGAGGCAATAGCAAACTCTCCTAGATGAATATAAGCCACATCAGTAGGACAGGAGTTGGTGGGAAAGGTTGTGTGTGCACAGGTCATTCTGTCTGTTCTGACCTGCCATGGTATCCCACAACATTTACCAAAAACTATGTACCAGGCACAGGAAATAGCATCTCTGATTCCATTCCTGCCCAGTTTTGTGCCGTATCTGGGGACCAAAGATGAATTCCAGTTCTCTTGAGACTTCTGCAGAAATTCATGTCTCTATTAAGAAAAATATTGTCGTTATGGAGTATGTGGGTGAAGTACATGTCAAAGTTTAAAAACAAAACAAACCCAGTGATCTCCCTCTTGGTCATAAAAAGTAGAAGCTTCCTCTACTCTTTGCCTGAAAAGAGATTTTATTTCTGTCATTGACAATACAGAGAACCTAGTAGAGCAACTAAACTAATCTTCTCATGTTTCTCCTATCAGAAGAGGGAACTGGCCGTTCTGTGTTGAAACTGAACATTTCTTGTTTCTAGAGAACATGAATTTTCTTGATTGGTTGCTGTAAACAGCAGCAAGAAATAATTTATCAATCAAAATCAATCAATCAAAAACAGCCTTAATATTTCATTTGCTGGCACAATAATGTTCTTAGCCCCTTTTAGTGGAATCTGGTTTTTTCATCATAAGAAGTTTGATTTCAGAGCTTTCCTATTAGACCTTCCTAAGAATTTTGATAGATGCTTCTACAGAAATCTTGTGTCCAGTATGGCTTTCAGGACTGGAGCCCATTTTTTTGAAATTTAGTTTGTTTATTGACCCATTTTAAAAAATAAGATTGTAGGTAAAACAATGTAGCCATTATTTGTAAGTAAAGTCAGACTGCATGTGATGTTAAATAGCAGGCAGAAGATCCAAAAGATAAGCAGAAAGAACACACTTATGACTGAGTAGTCGGATGTACAATGTGTTTTGAGCGTAGAGAGGTTCAGTATGGGAAGCGTGCTTTGAAGGGTACCATAAACGATGTAGAGTTTGCTGAAGAAGCACCAAAACACAAGAAAAAAGCATTTGGTGACAAGAGAACCTGAGCTGAGAAAACCATATTGTTGAGCTAGAAATTGCAGTGTATCTCTCTTCATGTATACATTAGCATGCAGTCCTTGGGCTTATCCTGGTTAAATTACCTATCGGTCCTGAGGTGAGAAACACCAGAGCCATTCATTGATTGCAAAAGCAGCTTTCCCTGATTACGAGTTTGCCATCATCAGAGAAAAGTGAGGGGAACTCATTGCTGCTTTGGTGGATTAACTGCTCAGGAAGGTGACGAAATCCCAGTTTCTGGCATGAAGCTCTTCCAGAAGTTGTTGCACATGAATGTTATTAATTAGTTACATCTTCTGGTCCAAGAGCCTGTATAATAAAATATATTGGATTTATTGTGAAAGGCAGTGTTTAAATTTTAAAATATTGTAGAAATGTATGTTTTCCTCTCTTTTGAGGTATTTGAACCCCATAACAATCTGCAGGCCCTCCTTTTTAACTGTATTTTGCTTGTAGTAATTTATTTGGGTAGATTTTGCTTTGGAAGATGAAAAGGTTTTCTAGTGATGCCTGACCAGATGATTTTCTAAGCTATGCCGTAATGAAAGATTGATGAAATAGAGATCTGCTGATGAAAGTTTAATCTGAGGATGTGTCTGCTAACTCACCTCAGGCAGAAATGTCTTCCAGGAGGCTGTAATCACTCTCTCCGTACGTTACACTACTATCTTGACCTCTAGAGTTACTTTATTTAAAACAGTTCTGGATAAGCAGAGGCTTCATTGTTTTGTTGACTTAGGCTGTGTGGCGATTCCATGTTTTGAAAGGTAGCATCCTTTGTTTTCAGTTAATCAGTCAGTAAAATATGTTTGACCTTAAAAAAGGCCAGAGTGCCTTGGTAAAATCGTGAACAAAAGCAGGTTCCCACAAGAGTAGTTGGTGGTTATGTATGCATATATGTGTACAGATATGTGTAGACTCCGAGCGCCTATGTTTGATACATATGTGTGGGCATTAAAGGAAAATAAACATACTGTATCTGTCCGTCCTTTTGGCAGAGACTGTTTCTTAGGTGATGTTGTGTGGGTTTTTTAACAGTAAAAGCCACTGTACTCTGTTTGTAAAGTCTTCCTCTCCTGCTGTACTGAAACCAGAGCCATGATGATTCATTTACTATTGTTTGTTAATAAGAAAAGTCCTCATACTTAAATAGTTTGATTTCAAGATCAGTAAGGTCATTGTCACGTGGAGGATTTGTGGTATCACAGGTATACAGTGCGTAATTGTCAGTGCTGTTTGCTTCTTAACAGGCAGCCCATGGCATGTTTTTTCTGGGCTTTAAAAGCATGTTGGAAAATATTAGCCTACTGAAGCTATGAAAGGGTGGTTCTTTTCACTTGCGAGCCGCAGGACTGTACATTAATCATTCCTCAGGTTGGGTTTTGTCTCCCCTTCTCAACTGCTGGTGCATGCCCTTTGCTTTCTGAGCAGCTCGCTAACAAGAAAGAGAGAAAAGGTAATGGCCCATCAATTTTGTAAAAGAGTTTCCCTTAGTACATTTCCCTGAATCCTCCTTTATCTTCATTGCTTTTCCACCAATCCAAAGCCAGCCTCAACCTCTGTGGGACTTTAATTGCCTAAAAGATCACTGTTCCTTCTGTCGTGGTGTCTCCATACAACAGCAGTATATTCCAGCTGAAAAATTCAGCCGTTAGCTGGCCAGGAGGGCTGCAGGTGGGTTCAGGAGACAGCTTTGATGGGACTGAATATGCAACTAGTTGCTGGACAGCATGAGCACCTGGCATGTTGGACGAAACACGTAGCATGTGTCTTTGTTCATCCACTACTTTGTCATCACATAGCCCAGGTTTGTTTTCTCTGCATAGTTTGTGTGTTTCCCTGGCAGGCTGAGGAGGGAGGGCAGTTGCTCTTGCTTTTTAAGTGGTGGAGAGGCAGACTCTCCGATATGGGGGTTTTCTGATTGTAGGCTTTGTGACTGGACAGTGTGAAAGCATTGTGCTCCATCCTCTGCCCTAATAATGCCCATTTTGGCAGGTGGTGGCGGGGGGGGTTCTCTTCATCTCTGTGGATGTCTATTGCCCTGCTTCTTTGACTCACTGCTGTTTTTCTGCTGCTTAGATATCAGGGAATAAAATGAGCCTAGGAATCAAAAAGGGGAGAAAGGCGGAGATGAAGAGAGTAGGATGATGCATGCACCAAAGATGAGGCTCAAGCTGCCTCAAAAAGGGAGGGCAGACAGCTAAAT